TGTGTTTAACCCCTGTTGATTTATGCCCTTACTCCTACAGTTGTGCCTTATTTATTTAGTGTGTGTGTGCTCCATAATTGTGTAGATAGTTAAATAGATTGTTTAATTTGGGCTAATAATCTGTGTTGTCCTCTGACCACATAGTCTTCCCTGCTCTGCACAATACCAAAGGGAGGGGGTAGCCCAGGGAAGCAAGGAAAGGCCAGACCCTTGTATTACCAACTTTCCAGGGATCCCCCAAAGATTGGGGATTCCATCTCTGAATACGGAGATTCAGCCAGAGGGGTCTCACCGTCCCTCTAAAAAGGCAGTGACAGTTCAGCCTGATCCTGCATTCATCCCTCAAGTTAATGTGGTGTTTCATAGGGCAGGGGAAATTGTCTTACCCTCCTTCTTTTCCAGTGTTTCTCACCTCACCCATTGGAGCAGGAATGGCATTCTTTAGACATTAAAAAGGCACACAGCTTGTATATGTCTAGAACAAAGGCTACTAGAAAGTCTTTGTATCTTTTAAAGACGACTCTTTGGGAGTATGAATCGTGGGACACATACCCTGTTTCCCCGAAAATAAGACCTACCCAAAAAATAAGCCCTAGCAGGATTTCTATGCATTTGTGGTATAAGCCCTTGTGTGTCTTCTTGAGAAAAAATAAATATAAGACAGTGTCTTATTTTCGGGAAAACACGGTAGTTACTGTATAGCAGGCTTGGAGTGGGGAGTCTTCAAAGGTCATTGCTGCACAGAGTCAGTATCCACTTGGAAATCAGCGCATACTTTTGCTCATCATTATATCAATTTTGCCTCAGCTGATACAGCATTTGGCAGCAAGGTTTTTACGACACTAAGGTTTTACAACAACTTCTGTCATCCCATAAAGTGTATAAAATAGAATTGTTCAGGAGGGCATTTTTATAAAGGGTATAGGACTATACTATAAGGGAATGGTTCAGAAACACATTTACAACAGAAAGGGGACTTGTGGACTACAGCTCTCTTTGTGGCCTGGATGGTCCAGGCTAGCCTGATCTTATCAGATCTTAGAAACTAAGCAGGGTCAGCCCTAGTTAGTATTTGGGTGGGAGACCACCAAGGAAGTCCAGGGTTCCTAGGTGGAGGCAGGCAATAGCAAACCACTCCCGAATATCTCTTGCCTTGAAAACCCTACAGGGTCACCTTAAGGTGGTTGCGACTTGACAGGAAGAAAGGGATATATTATCTATTTGTTGCATTTATTATTGTGCTGTCACTGCGTTTTTTTCTTTTGATGTAATACCATTTTTCTGCATTATACCTAATGATATCATTATTCTACACTATATCCGCATTCTGAATCATGTCTAATATTCTGTGCTTGTTTTAAATGTCTGTAACCCTAGTACATTCCTTCTTAGATGTCTCATCCTGTTCATTGTATCAATTTACACTTTATAAACAGCCTTGAGTCTCAGTGAAAAAGAGACATAGTGAATAAATTAAATGACAGGTGATTATAGTTTGGGTCTTATTGGTCCAGTATAGTTTTCCTCAGTATAAATAGTTTTTCTGCATATCAGTAGGGCATATTGCTGTGCCACGATTTTTTGCGTTTCAGTGGTTGCAGAGTAAAAGCAGTCTTTCCACCTTTGGGCTGGGAAGCCTGCATAGATTGTAGGAGGTTGGGGGGGGGTGATGACCCTGTGCCTCCTTAGTGTTTTACCTTTCTAAGAACATAAGAGATGCCAATGTTGGATCAGGCCAAAGGCCCATCCAGTCCAACACTCTGTATCCCACAGTGCTTTCTCTTTACCATATTTGATTATTTAAGGTTGTTGGATTACCTTATGTAACGTATAGTTTCCTAGAAATGGTTTGGGGGATCGTCAAGGCATAATAACACTTCCCACAACCATGGGAAGATGCCTCTCCTAACAGAGCAGGCTGCCTCGGTCCAGAACCACCAAGAATGGAAATTCACAGGAAAGGAACAGATTTTTCCCTTTTCACTTCTTAGTTTTGCAATACTGCTTTGTATAAGCATGACTCTGCTGATTTCTTCTCTCACCTGTTTAGGCAGACTCCCTCCTCCTCTTCGCAACACATTCCTTTTTTCCTCCCCCCACATTCCTTGCTAACAGCCATCAGTAATTCTTTGAATCTCTTATCTTGCTACCTGTGCTTTGAATGAGTGTGAATGTCACAAAACAAATTAATTGCAGTTCAGTTCATAAGTGGGCAATGCATTTTTTTTTACTATATAATTATTCCCTATGATGCATGTTATGTGTAGATTTCACTTTCTGTATTTTAAAGTACAATATTTATGTGTTTATATGCTGCTTGGGGGGGACTTTTGGTTGAGGGGCATCTTAGTGGTCAGATGCATTGCACATTGCTGGGAACTATCCGTCAGAATATTAGTGTTTAACACTGTGTGTTTTGATTGCATTCATGAAAGCTCTGTGTCTCTGCAGTCATTTTATTTTGCAGCATAGATATCATGACTAAACAGGTACAGATATTTTGTTTGTAGTTAACATAATTCACCACCTTTTACTTTCCATACCAAATATTAGTACAGGTGCTTCTCTTGTATTATGTCTAGTAGTACATATATATTATGCAATAATGTTATTAGCTTGTAAAGTTCGAATGTATGAAATAATGTATAAGTTGTAGCTGTCAGACTTACTCAGAAGCGTGGTAAATACTGTAGCACGTAATGCGATGTTAGTATGAGAAGGCGTTAAGGATGCCACTGAATTTCTCACACTACATTTCAACATGGGAAGCCATCACGGACAAATTTTCATGCTGTTTTCTGTTTCCATGCACCACATTTGTCCCATTAACTTTACACAATGGTCAGCGTTAATTTTGCATGCATTGTGTAGAAATGATATAAAGATGTCATAGAAAAACTGAACAGGGAACAGCAGCAGTGAAAACAGACAAAAAATCCTCATAAAACATACAAAAAGAAGCAAAAAGTGACATATTTGTACATTTATAGGGGAGATGAATAAGTAAGGTACATTATATCAAGAAATAATATCTACAGCCATTTATGGCCTATACAAGTAAGCCTAGGTGGCCACTTTAAATTTGTGCAGTAGCTCACAGCTCTTTAGTGCTGGTTATGTGCAGTAAATAACTTTCATAAAACCAGACATTTTTGTTCCAGTGTAAGCCCAGATTTTTTATTTTATTTTTTGCATTCACAATGTCATAACCCATATGCAAAGGAACCAGTTGATTTGTCAATATTCTCTCATGTCTGTTCTGATACAAGACATTTAAAATCACCGCAGGGAAACAAAAAGGAAGAATATTCTTTTCAGTGCTGTGAATTCAGTCAAAACACAAATGTAAGTTGTCTAAAGAAAAGCAAAGGCAAATTTTAGTAACTGTGTAAAAAAACCCCAAAATATTCAAATTTAGCAATCCATTTTCCAAATACTTTAAAGAAATCTTAAGCACTGTAAAGTGTACACTTCAAAAAAATAATTTTGTATCATTATTTTAAAAAGCACGATTTTCATTATGCTGAAATTTCATGAGACTTACCTTTTTAGAAATTGTTTTCAGGCACAATTCACATTTGCCTATCCCTACCACAACCTGGGTCATCAAAAATGCAGACGGAGGCAGGGAGAGAGAGGAAGTGTGCCCTGCCTCCCGCTGTTCCACAATGCTTCATCCTTTTAAAGTTTAAAGGGTTGTTGTTTTCAGTGGGAAAACTGAACTCTGGAGGCCAGCTCTACAACCATTGAAAACAATGGCCCACGAAAGTTTAAAGGACCGATGTGCAGCTAAACAGCTGTGGAGTGCTTCAAATAATGGGTAGTAGACCTGGCTTCTAGACACTGGAGGCAAAGTCTACCACTCATTATTTTTCAATAGGCAGTAGACTAGCTTCCAAATATGAGGCTAAATTAACTGCCCATTTAAACTATCCCCCAGCTGTCCAGGAATGCATCTGCCCTTTAAATTTTAAATAACCATTATTTTCAGTGGGAGGAGACCTAGAGTCCAGAGGCCTGGTTTCCCATAGAAAATGATGGCCCTTTAAAATGTAAAAGGGATCATGTGCTGTGGAAAAGCTGGGGGCTGTGCTGTGCTTCTTCTCCCTCGCTGGGCCTGCTGCCTCCACAGTACATTCCAGAAATTCTGGGTGATTAATGATTATTACTTCTGGACTTCTGGGAATGTTGTGGGTCATTTTGGATGTCCCTGAGCCAACCTTAAACAACTAGTTTCAGGTTTAATTTCACCTTGGGAATATCTGAATGCACACCCCCTAGCGCTGTCCTTTAATTTCACAACTGTACCTATTTGTGTTTCTGGTGGGTAGCCGTGTTGGTCTGAAGCAATAGAACAAAGTTTGAACCCAGTAGGCACCTTTAAGATCAACAAAGCAGAATTAAACTTTGTTGGTCTTAAATGTGCCACTGGACTCAAACTTTATTCCTTATGTATTTCCATTCAACGAGTGAGACCCAACACTTACCCCCAAGCTTAGCACTGAATCGTATAACTCTAGCTGAATCCTGACCAACTGTGAGCTGAATAGTACTTTCCGCCATCTCAGATTTCCTAGTCAACATCATCTCTGTCTTGTCTGGACTGAACATGTATGTGTCAGGAGCTGCTATACAGATAAATTTTCAACAACCGCATTTTGAACCAAGTTAATACGCGTGGAATCTTGTCATGCTTTTGAAAACTAAAGTGTCTTACCTGCTTGAGAATTCTAAATGGGCTCCACCATGTAATTTACCATTCACTCCCCCTCCCAAAATGAGAAAAAAAAATCTCTTTCACAGACTTCACTAAACATGCAGAACCACACATTTACCATTTGCCTCCAAGGCTCTAGCCTTGCACCCAATTTCACAGTGATTGCCATTGATTTCCATGGGGCCCATGCATGTATAAAATACGTGCAGGCCAGCGGTGAATTTGCTACAAATAGAGTAGGTGGTTTTCCCAGCTGATGAACAATGCTTTTTCTCTTTTACAGAACTGGGTTACTAAAGCAGAAAAGCAGACCTTGCTCTCAGATATCCTTGACCTCTCAGAACTGTTCCATCCAGACACATTTCTAAATGCCTTGCGACAGGAGACTGCAAGGTAGGTGGGGAAAAGCAGCTGTCCTGTGCCCCTCTTGCAGCCGTGGTCTTCCTTTTATTGTTACTTAATTGCTTCACTTTCCTTGTCCAGGGTAGCCCAATCAGATCGGAAACCAGTCTGACAGGGTTGTACAGCTTATAGCTTATCAAGCCAAATACAGTCAACCAGCGATGTATGGCACTGCACCAGGGCTCAGAAATCCTTGTGTTTTTACTGCTTGCTCTGAACAAACAAAAAAGAAAAAAGAAATCAATGGTGTAAGGGAGCTCTCAGGTCCAAATACATGGCCAGCGGGCTTGGTGATCACACATAGTGCAGACACATAGTACAGCATTCTTGAAATAATGTAGTGTTATTTCTGGGAAGTAGCCCTAAGCTTATCTTAGGTAGGGCATTATTGTTTTTTTCTGTAGTGTAATAGTTGAGATTATTCGTATTTTATCATAATTTCTAACCACCAACCATTCCTGTTTTGTGTTTTAGTGGACAATTTATGATTAATAGAGATCGACAGGATGCCGTGTTCTTTAAAGCTTAGTTTTAGTTAGCTCTACCACATGGGAATCTAGAGGGAAAGCCCTAATCAAAGAGAAAAACTAGGATAAAGAGCAAAGAAATATAAGTTGCAGACACAGAATGTAGTCCAAGGGTCCCCAACCTTTTTGAGCCTACGGGCATCTGCCAAGGGAGGTGGAGACAACCAAAAAATGTCAGGGAGTGAGGTTATGCATAAATCTGACAGTATCTCTTCAACATTTTAAGCAGACGATCAGCTTAACAGGATACCTTTTAAAATGAGCATATTGTTTAAAACTATTTTCTTGCTTACGTACTTAGCTTACCTTCCGTCATGCAGTGAAGACCCTTGTGCTGTGGTGGCAGCTGTTGCCAAAGCAATGTGTTGTTGTTGTTGTTGTTTTAGTCTGCACAGCCAATCGGATCTCCAGTGGCCAGTATGAAGCCCTGCTGGTCCCCGCCCACTTTCTAAAAACACTTGGCAGGCACTACAGAAATGGCACCCACAGCCATAGAGCTGCCAACTCAGAGCTGGGAAATTCCTGGAGAATTGGGGGTAGAGCCTGGGGAGGGTGGGGTTTGGGGGGAGGAAGAACCTGAGCAGGGTATAATGCCACTGAGTCCACCCTCCATAGCAGCCATTTTCTCCAGGGGAACTGACCTCTGTAGTCTGAAGATGAGTTGTACTTCTGGGAGAACTCCAGGCCCCACTTGGAGTTTGGCAGCCTTACGCTGGGGACTCTTGATATAGTCAGCCTGAAATCAAATACAAAAGAAATCTTAGTCAGGTACAAGTGATAGAAAACAGAGTTACTTCAACTGTATTCATGGAAGCAAGTTCCATTCATTTCACTGGTGCGATAGACAGACAGACAGACAGAAAGACAGAAAGAAAGAAAGAAAGATAGACAGAAAGATAGACAGAAAGATAGAAAGATTAAGAGCTAATTGTATGTTGCTGTTACACTCAAGATGTGTGTAGCAGAGCCCCATCACCATTTTTAAAAGAAAGTTAATTTGGGGGGGTAATTTTTTTTAATCAGAAAGGTGGTAGGGAGAACTTGGGGTACATCTCCACCTCATCTAATCTCAAAGCAGCTTTTCTTTTTAAAAATAGCATCAAGGTTCTCTTTTGCGCATTTAAATATATACATCGAGAAACCTTTAGGATTGCAATAGTAATCTCAAAGATAATCAGAGATAAGCAGTAGACTGGCTGGGCATTGACAGGGCACAGGACAGCAGATTACAAGGAATAAAACTGGACTGCCCGAAAGGATCCACATTCCGTGCTGGGATTTGGCTTTAGGACTTTTGGTCAGCCAGTCTCTCTCTGGTTAACAGAAAGGTCGTCCACAAGCAATTAATGTGGAAGCACTTCTATGCCTAGAGTTTCAATTCCCCTACCTAGCAACAATAGCTGTGATACAATTTAGGCCAATTCCCACCTTCTTCCATTGCGGTTACAGTCCTAACGTTTCCACCAATTAGAGGCAGAGCACTAAGGAGAAGGGATGGGGAGACTTCCAGGGGGAATTGTGCCAGAGGGTAAGGAGAATGTGAGAAGAAGTTCATTTCTGTGGGGAAACGTTCTTTTGTATAGAGGCATGTAAATGAGAAATTTAGGTCAAAAGGTGTTCTCCGGGAAGGTACGCATTCAGCGAACATTGTGTAGCTTTTTTACCATTTTATATCCTTAATAATCTCACTGGGGGGGGGGATGTTTGCCACAAGAAAAAAAAACATTTAATTAAAGCATACTGAATATCTCTTTATATCTTTTATAAAAAACCAATTCTCATTATTGGTGCATTAGGTAGTCTTTAACAATACTTTCATTTTTCCTAGTTGCTGTAAAGCATTTAGACTTCCTTTTTCTTTCTCTATTTTAGGGTGATGAACTGCTCAGTAGACAGTCTAAAATTCACAGCATCGTGGAAAGGTCAAATACGAGAAGCAAAGCTCCAGGTTCAGGTACTGTGTGCATTCAGATCTCTTTTCAGTGAAATTGTCTGAGTGAAGCCACTTATCTATAAAACAGGGACTGGTTTAAATATGTTTTCAGTTGGACCCTGTCCTGTGAGCTTATTGTGGGTAAGGATGGGCATCTTATTTTACCCTATCCCTTCCTTTCTCTGGCAACCAAAAACTAGTTTGTGTGAGAAAATGCCTTGTACCACTTCTGGGAAACAACACGGTGGTGTCCTGGGGAAAGGAATTTTAAAGCCGAGAGTGAAAACTGTGAATCTCTCATCAGAATCTTCTCTTATCAGTCAAGACAGAGTGGTTCTGGTGCTTGTTAAGTGGAAATGGCTGTAGACTGGGGGAGATCTTTGAAAGAAAAGCTACACTTGGTGGTAGCAGCCTGTCAGTTACCACCCCTCTTAAAGAGATGTAGAGAGGGGCTGTCTTTGATCATGCTCTTTTAGGTCTGAAAGACCTCAGTTGGAATAACATTGTTTGAGTAACACGAGGTTTAGATGCGAAGAAACGGATTACGAGAAAGACGCCAGTAATGGGAGCAAAGGAATCTGTCGTGTCTTACTGAGTTGAAAATTGTCCCAATTACAAATCTACTTTTCCTGTCATTCAGGCTTGCAATATTATTTTCCACATATATGTTTAAAGGTCATCTAATAAACTTTGGGGTAATCTCCGGAAGACCATTTGAAGTGCAGATGCCCTTTTAATCATTCTGAAGCCAAGTTTACAACTTGGCCTAGAGGGGGGGTTACCATTTTTGAAATGGATGATTAACTCAGCAGATAACCTCAAGGCATGATTAGGGTAGAGATCCTTCCTGCTAAGGCCGTGATGAATTCTTGATTCAAAATCAATTTGTACATAATTGCATCTTTCTTAATGACATTTAGAATTGCTTGGACAAGAGTCTCTTTCCCGGCAATCCCATGCCAATATGCAAATGAGCAGTCTGCTTAGTCAGTGTTCTCTGCTGCCTCTTTTGACAGAAGACATTTAAACTCACTGCAGGAAGGGCATTTTGACAGGGCTGTGAGTTAAGGTTCAAACAGAAGCATAAATTTTGCAGAGAAAATCTGTCAGAAGAACATTTTAAGTAGCTGGGTAAAAAAGCATTAACACCCAAACTCTGCAGCCATCTATGTTATGCCTCTTCTGCAGAGATTACATTTGTACATAAATATTGAACACTATCAAACGGGTAAGTGGAACTATGCAACCAGTTGTAAAGCATTAATCTCTTCTCTCTCATTCCCATTTCCTGCCCTCTCGATAAAAAAGGGGAAGGATATCCAAGCTGCCATTTGCAACACACAATACATGCAGCAAAGGAGGTTATCCTCTTTACTATCATCTTACCAGTGTCATGCTATGTTGCCTTCTCCCGGCAACTTTCCTGGGTGTTCCTGCCACTTGTTCTTGCTGTCAAGAGAAAGCAACGGATTGACTTTTTTCTCTCCAGGGAAGCAGCAGGGCATTCACTTGGGGCTCCAAAGATAGCCCCGTAGTAGGGTTGCCAGGTCCAATCTTCTCCCCGGTGGGAGAATTTGGGAGGCGTGCCAGGAGGAGGTGGGGCCATCCCTGACACGATGACATCACGCAGAGTGACATCATTGCGTCAGGGACAGAGCGCCACACACACACACACGCTTTTCCCCAACCATTTAAAGGGAACCTTCCTTTTAAATGGTTGGGAAAGGGGGTGCCGTGCGCATCTGCCCTGCAAGCGGCGAATTTGCCGCTTGCAGGACAGGTGCAGGCGGCATCCGCCTGAAAAGAGCAGGCACCACACACTCCTGCCCTGCAAGCCACAAATTCATGGCTTGCAGGGTAGGCACTTACTGCCCCTGCTTGAGAAGAGCCGGCGCTGCAGCACCTGCCCTGCAAGCTGTGAATTCACAGCTTATGAGGCAGACACACATGGCTCCCGCTCTTTTCAAGCAGGGCCACAGATGACTGTTGGGGCAGGGTTTCCCCCCGCCAGCCAGCTGGCCAGCGTCTGGGGGGAGCCAAAAAAATAGAGGGATCCCCTGCCCCTACCCAAGGACTGGCATTCCTACCCAGTAGTAATAATATCATGTGATGAAACAATGTATAACCTCCTCCCAAAAGATGGATTATGGCAAGAGATTTCAGTATCAGAATAGCTTTCAGCAAAATGGGTTCACTGATTGCTTTGATTCAAAACTGCAGGCCTAAAGAAAACAGCCTGAATAGCCTTGAGTAGCCAGAGCTCAGCAGCTAAGCCGGGTCAGTCATGGTTAGTACTTGAATGGGAAACCACCAAGGGAGACAGGGGTTGCTGTGCAGAGGAAGGCAATGGCAAAACACCTCTGCCACATCTCTTTTCCTGAAAATCCCATGAGGGATCGCCATGAGTCAGTTACAGCTTGACGGCACTTCACTGCTATGACTAAAAGAAAGTGTGGTTGGAAACATGACTGGCTTTGGCATTAAATCCAGCTGAGCTTAACTTCCATTAGAAGTAAGAACGAAGCACTTTGCTCAGATGCTCGGTGTGTTGCCTTCATGATAACTTGCTAAAGTCAAGCATTCAAAACATGTCAGCCATTGAATAGCACATTGAGGTAGAGTTGTTATTCCAACAGAACTATAGTTTGCATTAGATCTCACAGAGTTTTTAAAATACAGTTAACATTTTTTTAATTCACTCCCCTTGTGCATTATTTCTGCACAATACTAGCGAGAACGACATTTCAGTGACTTGTAGAAAAGTTCAATCCATTCACTGAACGCTAATGTCAAACTTCTCAACAGGAAGCTGTGCCTATTCAGGAATTTATTTTTTCCTCTTTTTTGGCATTGTTAATAAATGTTTACTTGGCTCTCGCTGCTCTGTTTCCATTATTGTAGTGTCCCAGCACCTGCCAGTGACATAAATGCTGACATATACAGGTATCTTTTCCTAGCATAATAAAGAATGCAAATGTTAACTATAGGAAGTTCTAGGCTATTCTTATATATGTTTCTTGAAAATTTCTGCATTTTTTTTGTTATTTACATGATCTCTACAGACAGACTGCTGTATAATCACTACTCGTATCCAATATATATATATGAATATTTTATGTTTCCATGACAGATCACTGGCCTTCAGCTGGAAGGCTGCAGTTTTGATGGAAATCGGCTTTCAGAAAACCAGCACGACTCCCCCAGCGTGTCATCAGTGCTCCCTTGTTACATGGCCTGGATTCCACAGGTACTTCGTTATTAAGGGTCCTAAACGTTAAGTCCTGTAATTGGTTTCCTTTGCTGTAACAAGTTTCCAGTATGATGTCTGACCCGCTTTTTTAATAAAGAGGCTGGATTCCTTGCAATATAATAACTATATTCCTGACAGTTGCAAAAAGTCAGTCTTCTTTTTCTCTAAAGCTGCACTTCAGAGGAAAAGAAAATGGGTTGGTTTTCACAGACTTTGTTGGGCTTTTTCCATTCTTATTGCTTCATAAGTGGCAAGAGGCGGATGGGCACTGAAAATAAGAATGTTCCTAACAGAAGAAAATATCATTTTTCTTCAAATATTTTTTGGAAATAACACGACGGATCATTAAAATCGTGAATAACTGGTAAGGTTGTTCAGCACAGAACTTTCATGGACAGAGCCAAAATTGTGCCAGTTAATATGACTATTGTTTGTTGTGTATTGAAGATATTGCAGATTAGCTTTTCCAGGGGATCCGAGTGTGCTGAACTGGATTTGTGAAAGGCTTCATGTGTGTCCAGATCATGTGCACAACCCGGCATGCTGAGAACTTTGACATAAATATGATTGTCAGGCAAACTTAATTTGCTTGACTCATGCAGCCAGATACAAGGAAGCTCCTGGCTGCAGTGCCTTGATGTTTGTTGTTGAAGATTGTGTCAGGCAGCATTAAGCCTACACAGCAGCCATGCATTTTACAGGGCCAGGTTGTAGCATCTTTAGTTTTGTTACAGCTGCAGTTGTTAACTGCTGAACTGCTTACCATGGTTGCTGTAAAATTTGTTATGAACAAATTTGAAATTGCTACTGTAACACTATTTCTCTGTTTCTGCCATCGGCCAATACAAGCTGGGGACTCACAGGAGAGAGAAAACCTGTTCCTCCACAGTGGCTCCCATCTTCTTTCTTCCCAGCCTCTCCACTCCCCAGAGGAGGAGGAGGAGAAGGCTTCCCTCCATTCTACCACCCCAATTTCACAGGTCCCCACTTGTATCTCCATAGTTATTTTTTTAAAGTTTAGGAGAACTAACATTTTTATTGGAATATTGCCTAATGGTATAATAGCATCAATTTCATTTTTTTAAAAAATTGGTGGTGGCAACAAGTAGTTCTGACAGTGGTTGAGAGCTGGAATTGTGCTTTCTAACTTGTGTGAGAAAGCAATATACTGGCACAAAATGGACACAACCACATTTGTTTAGACACATATCCACAGCTCACCAAATGATTCCCTTCCTTCTTGTGACTGGTGAGCAGGATGTGAGCCAAACTGGTGGCTGCACTTGCATCGCTACCCACGATCCTTTGATTCGGTACATTTTTTAGGGTATTGAAACTCACATGGAAGAAATCTATTTTTTTAAAAACCTCAGTTTTGAATGCATCCTGCTGTGTAATGATGCAAAAATGACTGTGTGGAAGAGAGCAGGGGAATACCAAAGCATGTGTCAATATGTTGCATAAGCAAGAAGTATCCTGCAAGCAATGAGAATGGCCAATAAGTCCAAGTAATGCACAAATAGCGGCTGAATGTCACCATATCGATGGGGTCTTAGCCAGGCGTAGTACAGCACTGCCAGGTTCATGAATAACTCCATAGAGATAGAATTTTCCCTTAAGAATAACGTGGGTTAATGATCTTCCACCGTTGACACGTTCTAAATTATCACTGGAAAAAACCAGACATTTTTACAGTTCCATTCTTATTAACGTGTTATCAAAGCTGTTTTCACAGGAATAATTAACAAATTAGATGGTACAAACAGCTCCCCCCCCCTTTTTTGGTGAAAAGAAATCTTGGAGACACCAGTCAGGAGACAAATGGGGCTTGCTTGTCCATGTGGCCATCTGAATAGAGTTGTGTCCCACTACTAACCTGCTTTGCCATAGGTGGGAAAGATATTTTTGTTGTTGTTCAGTCACACAGTCGAGTCCGACTCTTCACGACCCCATGGACCACATCACCCCAGACCCACCTGTCTTCTGTCGTGCTCTGGAGTTTGCTTAATTTCATGTTCGTTGCCTCAATAACACTGTCTAACCATCTCATCCTTTGCCGTCCCCTTCTTCTTTGACCTTCAGTCTTTCCCAGCATCAGGGTCTTCTCCAGTGAGTGCTCCCTTCTCATTTGGTGGCCAAAGTATTTGAGCCTCAGCTTCAGTATCTGGTCTTCCAGGGAACAGTCAGGGTTGATTTCTTTTAGGATTGACTGATTTGATCTCCTTGCAGTCCAAGGGACTCTCAAGAGTCTTCTCCAGGACCATAATTTGAAAGAATCTATTCTTCGGCACTCAGCCTTCCTTATAGTCCAACTCTCGCAGCCATACAGTACTACCGTGAATACCATTGCTTTGACCATCCGGACTTTTGTTGGCAGAGTGATGTCTCTACTTTCCCTA